GTTCGTCTGTACCGATTTTTCATCTCGAGACCGGCAAAAGCTACAGGGCTGAAACTTTGGGGACATTATCTACATGCACGTACGGACCCCCCTCCCCAAAATGGGCGGTCTCACCCGCGTGGTACTCGCGTAAGAGCCCACCAAAATTTTTTAGGGTAAGTTGATAACTCGCGAACCAGGAAAGCTAGAAAGCTGAAATTTTGAGGGAATGTTCCCCGTCCAAGTATTTACTAATGAGCTCAACCCCAATCCCCGGCTAACCGTGGTACCCGCGTACGAGCTCGCCAAAATTATTCCCGCGTAAATTCGTAACTCGGGGTTCTGAGGCGCTAGAAAGCTGAAATTTTAAGGGGGTGTTTTCTGACAGTTCTGGCGACCAGTCTTAATTTGTTTAGCTAGAAGCATTTGCTGAAAAAGGCGGTGTCGGTAGTAACAGAAACTGCGGTGATTTATGCAAAAAACGCATCTTCGCACGGGCAGCCCGTGCGTTGGCCAATTATTTATTTTCATGAGAATGCAGTGGCGTGGCGGAGTACAAACTTCCCTTCATCTGATTCGGCAACACATTCTGATTGCCTCCTCGAGCCGGATTAAAACCAGTTGTGAGCCGCTGGTTGCCTAGCTGTGCTGTACACGATCATAAGTTTACAGGTCGCTCATCGGCATGACGGAGGTGCTGCGAAGTGATACGGAAGTGGGTCGCCGCGATGCTTTCGACTTCTCGTACTGTGGTCGGAACATTGCGCTGCAGGCGATGGGAGTGCAACCGCCGAGGATGACGAGTACCGGTACCACGATTGTTGCAGTCACTTACAAGGTTAGGAAACCTCAGTTTTAAGATTAAATAACGCATTCCTCCCCCCTCTCCCTTCCCTCAACCCCACCAACCTGCCTTAATTACAACTTCCAAGTGGCTTGTTATAATTTTGCGGTAAAAACAGCTTGCTTTTAACATAGCGCTAGATGCCGGTTTTTATGCGTTTTGTACTCTGTAACAGCAGTACAAAACGCATATTGTTACGGGGTTGTCTGTGTGTGTGTGTTTATGTGTGTGCTGTGTCCGCAGCAACTTGTCCGCAACTTTCAACTCGGGAACCACAAAAGCTAGGAAGCTGGAAATTTAGGGTAACGTTTCCCGCAGCAACTTGTCCGCAACTTTCAACTCGGGAACCACAAAAGCTATGAAGCTGAAAATTTAACGCAGCAACTTGTCCGCAACTTTCAACTCGGGAACCACAAAAGCTAGGAAGCTGAAAATTTAAGGGGTTGTCCGCAACTTTCAACTCGGGAACCACAAAAGCTAGGAAGCTGAAAATTTAGGGTAACGTTCCCTGCCCACGTGTGACCCCGCAAATTTAAATTCAGCTTCCCTGTACCAGCGGGTAACATGTATGACCTCGTGAAAGTTTTTTGCGGGTAAATTAATATCTCGCGAACTACGGAGTCTAGGAGGCTGAAATTTTTGGCTAATGACCTT